ATAAAACGGCGGCCTTGCGATGACTCGGTTAAGAGAGTAGAGGTATTAGATTTGACTTATGTTAAGAAAGGTAGGGGTAGACCTAAAAAGACTTGGTTAGAAAATATTAGGAATGACCTTTCTTTATTAGATTTAAACGAGAATTTGACTTTTAATAGGACACAATGTAGAAAAAGGATTCATGTAGCCGACCCCACGTAGTGGGATAAAGGCTTGATGTTGTTGTTGTTGTATCTATTTTTCTGCTCTTTCCTGATATTCAATAGAACGTATATTTACTTTTGAAATCATCTTAGAAAAAACTAGTTGAATTCATGGTTATTTGGGCTCCATAAATATCAATTCAAGTAGTCTAATAATAAATTAAAAGAAAAGAAAGTTCTCAAAAGAGATTAACTTCGTTTGGGACAGCTTTTTTGTTGCTTTGTAAAGCTAATTTTTTGCACAAAAATCTCTTGAAAGCAAGAGAAAAACTGTGGTCTAAAGATGTCACAAACGAAGCATAAAATTGCTGCCACAGATGCGGCCAATGAACTCGTCAAGGTTGGATCCATTTGGGAAATGTAGCATCCCAGATGGATATCAAAGATCATGTGGTCAGTTAAGAAATGAAATGGCAAAAGGAGATCAAATTATTGGGTCAGGTGATCGAAGCCATCTCTGCGTTCGGTCGCCAATAGAAATGCGACATATGTTAGGCGTTTTTTTAATTTAATATGTTTGCTTTATGTCTTGTCAGAGTGAGCGACCCGGCCCGATAACGCATTTCATTTGAACTTTTAAGCATTTGCTGCCCTATTTTTGCATTTTGATACCCGCGAAAGACGTAAATATCTACTGCTGTATAAGAAAAAATGAGCCAGAAAATTGCAGAGAAGAAATGGACTGCTCAGCGAAGAGGGAGGTGGAAGAGGGCATGGAAGAGGGAGTGCATGAATCGGAATCGGAACCTAACTTAGCCGGAATTTCCTCTGGTTTCAACATATCGGTAAGTTTCTTGGAAAAACGAATTAGAAAGTTATAAACAGTTAGTTTTAATCTCATCGCCGCAGAAAGAAGACATAGGTTTCAGCTCATTAGTCTTAGGATCTTTGATTTTGCGATTTTTAAGCAGAATAATTTTTTTTTTTGTCGAAAAAGTAAAAAAAAATCTAATGTTGTTGTTGCTTAGATTTCATTATTGATTTTAGGATGAAGATGATAAATAAAAAAATTGAACTTATTTGATATCTAGCTGCGCTTTAGTTGCGCTTTACTTGCGCTTTCAGGCTGTTTATAAAGACGAGACAGAAGCATATGAATGTTTTTGCACTTATGCTCACGATAATGGCTTTAGTGTCCGAAAGAATCATCACAATTTTTGTCCAAATTCTAGAAATATAAAATCGAAGGACTTTGTTTGTTCAAAAGCTAGTTTCAAGAAAAGTGATGATCATAATTCAGGAAAGAGAAAGAGACTCACTAGACCAGTTGTCAGAATTGGTTGTCCAGCCATGGTGAGGTCTGTCATAGATGAAGATGGTTACTGGCATGTCAAAAGATTTATTGAATCCCACAACCATGAATTAGCTAGCCCAGCCGACCGACGCCTTTTAAGATTATGTAGGAATGTTATTGAGGAAAAAGCTTCCGTCCTAAAATCGATGATAGATGCAGGGATTAGAACCGTTGATGCATATGCCTACCTTGCAGAGGTAGTTGGTAGATGTGAGAATGTCGGATTCTCTAAGAGGGATGCCTACAATTTTATTCAGAAGGAGAAAAGAGCAAGGATTGAAATTGGTGACACTAATTCTTTGATTCAATTATTTAAAGATCGATAAGTTAAGGACCACATGTTCGCATGGGATGTTCAATATGATGATCAGGATAGATTGTTAAATTTTTTCTGGGTTGATGGCAGAAGCAGGATAGATTATGAATGTTTTGGAGATGTGTTGATTTTTTATACTAGTTACAGGCTGAACAAGTATAATTTTGTTTGTGCGCCATTTGTTGGTGTTAACAATCATTGGCAGAATGTTTTGTTTGGGCTTGCTTTTTTGTTAGAAGAAACAATTGAAAGTTTTACATGGTTGTTTAAAATATTTGTACGAATAATGGGTAATAAATATCCAACAACAATATTCACTGATCAGAACCAAGCTATGGCCAGGGCCATAGAAGTTGCATTACCTCACACTCGTCATAGATTATGCCAATGGCACATCTTTAAAAAGGTTCCATCAAAAGTTTTCATCTACAATAGCAATAATAAAGTTAGAGGACTCTTCCATAAGTGTATGAGGTGGTGTGATTCTGAGGAAGTGTTTGAGGAAGCGTGGGATGAAATGATCAAGAAAGGGAATCTTCATAATCATGAATGGTTGCAGGATCTTTATAAGATAAGGAGAAAGTGGTCAACTGCTTTCAACAAGGATTCCTTCTGCATAGGCATTTTATCAACGCAGCGTAGTGAGTATGCTAATAATGTGTGTCATGGCATTTCAAAGCCAACAAGTTCATTAACTGATTGTTTTCTTGGCTTGGAAAAGATACTGATGAATTGGCGGCGAAATGAGCAGGATGAGGATTACAAATGCAGTCAATCTGAAATTGTTCCCGTGATAAAGAACAGCTCAATATTAAAACAAGCTGCTAGATTTTACTCAAGAAAAATATATTCAATTTTTGAGGAAGAATTTATAAAGGCTGTGGGAGAAATGAGTATAGATTTTGTCTCGACTGATTCTTCAAAGTATATAGTCAACTACATAGAGAAAAAGAATCAAAACCATCCTTGGGTTGTTTACTTTGATGCAACAGAAGGTAATATTCAATGCAGCTGTAAGAAGTATGAAACCATGGGATTGCTGTGTTCTCATTGTTTGAGGGTTTTTAAACAGTTGGATATGGCTAAATTCCCTGAGAAGTACTTATTACTTCGTTGGTCAGCAAGGGCTCGACAAGTTTTTTATTCAGGTTACTTGCTTAATTCTCAAAGAAGTAATAATTTCCAAAGTGGTAGGGGATTCATATTCAGAAATCAGGTGAGCAGGTTTGCATATCAAATGAGCACATAAGCTTAAGGGAATGAGGAGGCAGAGGAGTTTATTCTTTCCTCATTGTAAGATATGTATAAAAAATTATACTTAATTCTTGGTGGCAAGAAAAGAAATCAGAAGGATGTTGCTAGTTCTAAGGTGGAACTGTTAATTTGAAAGATTCTCTAAAATGTAGACCTAAAGGCATATCAAATGCAAGACTGAAAAGCCATTGGGAGAAGAAAAAATGGCCTAAGAGTAAGTTTTTAATAACTTGTTAATTATTTAATTTCTAATCCTAAGATTAAAACTCTAGTTTCTTACATATAAGAAATCTTTGGTGGGGGATCCTTCTTCAACACAACCTTCTTCAACACAGATGAACTTTTCAAGCATGCCTGAATGTTTTAGTGAGGAATATATAACCGGCATACCATCATGCCAACCTGGAGCTGAATACACCAAGTTAATGATGGATTTTCTTTCTTCGGAGTTGGAATTTAATGAATTTGCAATGTAATAATATTTATTTGGAGTTAATGATTTCATTTATTGGTTGTAATAAAATTTTTATATGAATCATGCTTTCATTACTAAACCTTGGTGTAATGAATTAATAATTTTTTTTCTGAATTTAAACCTTCTTTTAAGCTAAGGTTGCGCTATGGTTGTGTTGGCGGACGAGGTGAACTTTCTGGTGGTTCTTTATGAGGAGAATCAGGGGGAGAGGGAGGTGGGGTGGTATCAAGTTTTTTCCTTGCGGATGACTTAATTTTCTAGGGTGACTTCAATTTCTGTGGTTCATGCCCTGCTCGGGTTTCCAAGTTTTGTATGGCATTAATGTCAGCCCCGTATTTTTCGGCCTCTTCATTGCTAACATTCTCAAGACAAACATAAATATGCAAAAACAGAAAACGTATTAATTTATTAAAGCGCAACCTTAGCTCAACCATAGCGCAACCTTAGTGCAACCTTTGCGCAACCTTAGCGCAACCTTAGCGCAACCGTAGCGCAACCTTAGCGCAACATTAGCGCAACCTTAGCGCAAACTTAGCGTAACCTTAGCGCAACCTTAGCATAATTTGTATCATGTACACGAAAAAATTACCTCACTTTTCTTTAAAAATTTAAATAATTTTGCTGCATTCTCTTGAGTAAAGTATAATTCTGTATACCCCTCCCATCTCAGAAAACGCGATCTGATTTCTAGATCGGATGGTTTATTCAAAGAAAAATGTTCCAAAAATCAAATCAGTATAATGCCAAACATAAAAAATTAAAAGTTAACATTAAAAAGCATTATACATGGAGAATAACCAGTAGGAGTGAAAATTTACCAGTAGAAGAGGAAAAAAACTATTGATGTAACCCAATGGTCTTTGCATTTGAAACTTCTCAAAAATTGTGTTGAACTCCTCAACCATGAAGTTCCTTAAGCATGAAGCCCAATTAATGGAAGTGAACTCACTTAAATTATTTGCAACAGATGTGAGCCTTCTAGGGGTTTTATGGTTGTTTAGAGGAAAGAAAATGTTAGATAACAAAAATATAATAAAGGTCTTTATTTTTGTAACATTATCAGATAATCTGTGTAATTTTGACATTTCTATTTTAATTTTACTTGATAGAGGTCCATTTAGAGGATCAATCCTCCATTTGATATCAATGCCTCTGTTAGGCAAACCTGTCAGAAAATATCAGTTGTTAAAGTTAAAAAAATATATCCCTATAAAAAATTCCATATTCAAAATATTACCTATCAACAAAACAACCTCGTTAGAAGTGAATTTCAGTAGATGACCAAGGACGATGAAGCCTTCATCAGCAGGACTCTAAAATTTGAGAACATCAAAAAGAAGTGGTATACACTGCTGGAATGCGGGGAACTTCAAAAATTAATGAATGTTCAGATTCTTTAATGTTTGCTCTTCTTCATCATCAATGATCTCGACAAAAGCATCACAATATTTCCGAAAAGAAGTAACATAGCATCTAAATGTTACCGGCCTTTGATACGGCATCCTCATCTATAACAATAAAAATCAGAACTATATCGCAACCAAAACTAAAGCGCAACCTTAGCGCAACTATATATTTCGTAATTATTTAGCTTAAAAGAATGTTTAAATTCAGAAAAAAAAATTGAACACCACATTGAACATATATGCTAGTTATACAATTATTACTAAACCCTAAAATTTAGCAGAAAGCGTAAACCTTTCGTATCATTTGTTTCATCCATTTACGAAGAGAAGAAGCGTGAAAAATCAGAAAATAAACATTTGAGCAGTACATTACATTAAACAAACAATGGTAAAATTATAACTAAACCAAACCCTAATATTTAACATATAACTTAAACGCAACGAAAACGCAAGTAAAGCGCAAGTTAGGCGCAACCATACCTCTTCCTGATTAATGATCTTCTACAATCTCGTCGTCTATCGTCTACCTCCGGCAGGAATAAGCTACTGCAGAACCGAAGGTATTGGAGGAATCCGAGAGCGCTTACCAGAGCTGGAGTAACAGTGAAAATGTCGCTTGAAAATAAAATATGCGGCGTTTCCATTCTTTATTTTCCGGAATTCAAATGAAATACGTTATCGGGTCGGGTCGCTCACTCTGACAAGACATAAAGCAAACATATTAAATTAAAAAAACGCCTAATAGATGTCGCATTTTTATTGGCGACCGAATGCAGAGATGGCTTCGGTCACCTGACCCAATAATTTGCCCAAAAGGAGGGTGAATTTAGCCTTTAAAAAGGTCCATATCACATATCTCAAAGTTACATTCGTTAAGTCCACAAGGCATGATATTATTGTCTTCTCTTTCAATTAATTTCAACGTCACCAATAATTGTGTTGAATACAAAGTGCTTCTCGTGGGACTCTACCTCCACTCAGGACTTGCATTAACCGTCCATTGAAGAAGAAGACGATACAAATATAATGAGTCAGATGGCTTACCTCTAGGAAGGAACACTCCAAGAGATAAGAATGCAGCAAGATGTCTAAGATACAAGGCACTAATGAACTTCATCTCAGAAGAAGATTTATTCAAGATATCATATTCAAGAATCAACTTGAGTTGTCTTAGATCTCAAGAAGCTAATGATGTTATGGAGAAAATCCACTAATGTGAGTGTGAAAAATATAGTATATCTATCAGAAAATCTAACAGGAAAAATCCCTAGGCAAGGATATTGTTAGTCGGGAATTAGGCTTCGTTTAGGACAGTTTTTTTGCTGCTTCTTAAAGCAATTTTTTAATATAAATACAAACTTTTTTATAATAAAAAGTTACTTTAAGAAGCAGTAAAAAAACCGTCTCAAACGAAGCATTAGAAGTTAATACGCAAATATTTTGCCAGATGTTAAGTTGTTAATACATGGTAAGGTATTCCGTCGACTACAGCCAACTGCTTCAACTGACTACATCTCCCTGGCCATTTTCCATATAAGAAGTGGATTTCATTGGTCTCTTTCACATTAAATCTCTCGCATGATATCTCAACAAAAAAAGGTTTTTTTTTTTTTTTCCAGTAGGTGACTTTCCCTACTATATCTCAACAAAAATCGTTTGTGCTCGTGGTGGTAGCTTCATTAAATGGGTAGAAGCAATTGCACTTACTTGACACAACCACTAAGCTAGTAGTAAGCTTACTTTGATGTAACATCTTTGCAAGATTTGGCCTTCTACTCACCATATTATAGATAATCATCTGCATTTCTCTCGCAAGAAGTTAGTAGACTAAGACTTCATTTGGGACTGCTTTCTTCCTGCTTCTTAAAGGAGCTTTCGAGTAAAAAAATTAAAACTTTTGTACTAGAAAGCTGCTTCTTAAAACAACTTTCAAGTACAAATGTCTTAATTTTGTACTAAAAAGCTGCTTCAGGACGCAGTAAGAAAGTCATTCCAAACGAAAACTAATAGACAAATAATGGAGTAAATCTAAACTTTTCCTCTATCCACTACCCTCAATCAAACCAACGAGCATGCAAAGGTTACAAATAAACTTATCATAAATCTATTGAAGAAGAGAATTTTTTACAATATCCGAAGTTGGGCAAATCAGTTGCCTAACAATACCTACAATCATGAGGACTATGCTCTCAATATTAATTGAATATGAGGTTGTGAATCCATCAAAGATTTACTTCCTAATAGCAAGAACCAGATAAATGCTTTCATCGCCAACTGAAAGAATATAAAATTAGATTCAAAACAATGAGGATTTGAAAAAAAAAATATAACTTGAATTTACTCGAAGATACTATAAATAAGATTTCAAAGAGGATTAGAAAATAATAATCCAAAACAGTCAAATTTAAGGAAAGGCAAAGGTCACTGAAAAATACTATGATACGAGAAAAGCTTGGCAAACTGCGAAGGATCATATATAACTAAATAAAAAATCAAGGGTGCCTACATGCTACAAACTGGTGAAGAGAAACCCATATCAAGAGAGTGAAATTTTGATGAGCTAAAATTATTTTACCTTGAAGGCTTAATATGTGGTTGATTGCATGCTGGTAGCTTGGCAAGCACAAATCAATAGGAGAACTCCATAGTTTTGGTAATCCGGGAGCCAAACTAGTGAACTGAGTAGAAGATAAGACATCACTCATGAAATCTTGATCAAAAGTTATTTTACAAATCATGCTTATGTGTAACAAACATCGCTATAATTTAATGCATCAATGAAACCTTTAGGGATCTCCAACCAGTAGAGTCATCCTCTATCTTCATATTTTGTCATATTTGTTAACCGTTTCTCTCTTCTAATTCTATAAAAGCTAAGTGTCTCTAAGGCATGCTAAGCTTTAAAAAAACTACATTGTCATAAAAACCAAAGAACATTTAACTAACCATCGTCGACAACCAGGTCTTGGTTTCTTAATGTTGTTGATAACAAAGACTATTGAATGTTGATGCTGAAAACCAAGGCTTAACACACCTGTATCAACAACCAAGAGAGGAATAACAATTGCTGACAGCCAAAGTTACTCCACTTTCAACTAGGGTTCAATTAAAGCA